CTCAATTTTGTACATGGGATCATTCAGAAGATATAATCTACATTAAAAATACACTACCAAAATAATTTGCTATTTTGACATACACAGATGAGAAAAATGAAGAAAAAGTATATTAAATATAATTATATTCAAAAATCTCTAAATATTTAGAAAATATTGAAAAACAGTAAATGTTAAAAACTTAAATTTTTGGTTTATGACTTCTTTCATTAATTCACTTTTCTGCTTTATTTTTTCCCTAAAATGCAATTTTAGTAGAAAGAATGATGATACCTCTTCATGCCTAAGTTATACTGCAATAATTCCTGAACATTCTGCGAGTAGAAAACTTTCAGTAAGCTGAATGCTGAAATCGCAGTACACAAACCCGAGGTGATGGTAGAAATGAAACTTCAATGTATGCTTTTCGCTTTTCATGGTGAAATTCTCGGTCATTTTAGTGCTACATTGAATACTATAAATGAGCGCTAAGTTGTCAAATCCTCCTGAACGCCGTTGCATACCATACTAATTTGAAACAACCTTCCCGGCTTCGAAGAAAACAATATTAGCATCGTAGGCTTTCAAGGCCGGATTCCACATAAGAGAAATTTTCCGGGCTGATAGGCCATGGTCACCAATGCCAACTGAACCACAGCCTACCAGCCCAGAAAATTACTCTTGTAATATAATCTCTTCTGTAAAATCTGTTTTGCTTTGGGAGGATTATACGTAAAAACAATTATATACTCATTCCACATTTTCCCTTCAAATCGTACAACTCTCCAGAGAATTGCATCAGGCATGCGCAAAACAATACTCCCATCCAGGATTTTCATCTACGCATGCTGTCACAATACCAATAAATTTAGTTATGAAAGCGACAGATCATTTGGCGCGTTTTTCATCTCGTGGCGTGGGGTCGCTGGCAATAATTCACCGAATGAGCCATGATGTATTCGGGCCGACGTCCCAGAATGGTCCGCGCGTTAATGACCTCCGCTAATGGACGGGTGGCGCGTGTCTCCAATCAGTCGCTTTGACAAATGAAAGGAGCAGGCCACGGCGGCCACGCGCCAAGACGCAGAATAAATCACGGCAGAAAGAAAATAAAAAAGGCGAGTGGCAGAGCACTATGTTCACTGAAATGCTTTGGCCTCTGCAGAAGCAATATTGGGTTCAATTTAATAAAATAAATTATACTTCTGTTACATTTAAATTATTTTACGCAAACCAGTCTCTATTTTGTTTTCTCCCATCACCCTTAGACGTTCATGTAATGAGCTACGGACGTGTATGCCTGGAACTCCCAAGGGGCATCCCAGTTCTGCAAACCGGGTCCGGCAAACCCACTGAGCATGCCCTGGCTCAGAGCGTATCTACGGGCGACTGATGAAGCCCACTGCTTGCCAAGTCATCCCCACGGAAGGGCACACGTGGTGCTCAGGTGCGATCGCATAGTCTACTGATAGGCGAGTGGCACGCGGGATACTGCAGATGGGTAATACGGGCAGTCTGGCCCCAATTCTTGCATTTAACAGCCCTCGTGTAGAGAACGTAGCATAATAAAAACTTTTCGTAATATTATACTGTTATGTCCACTTAATGCAACCAAACAGGGAAACGAAAAGTCGCTTTTAACCCCCTGGTGTCCATTTAGAATTTAACAGTCCGTCGTCCATTAAGACCAAACCAGAAATGAGTAGTAGCCACAAGTCGCGTATGAGTTAACTTATTACAAGATTGGCATTTACTGTTAACATGCTTTTTTTTCTTACAAGCAGATTTGTATTATAGAAAATATTTCACGACACACGGCCAAAAAGACATGACAGACATGGTTGAAGTAAGGACTACAACCAACCGGGTCTATTATTCCTTCTTTATCGGCCTTATGACATGAGTTTCCTTTTCGATTTCCTTATATTCTCCCTTGCCAAGCGATTTGCGCAAGGGTGTGTGTGTGTGTCCGCAGCGCGACACGCAGTTCGGGGAGCTGATGTTCTCGCTGAGCTACCTGCCGACGGCGGAGCGCCTCACGGTGGTGGTGGTGAAGGCGCGCAACCTCTGCTTCCCCATCGCTCGCGACACCGGGGACCCCTTCGTCAAGGTGAGAAGCAATAAACAGACACTTTTAGCGTTGTATTGAATTGATGTGTGACCGGTTGCTCACAAAAAAAATACAACGTTGGAAGAGAAAATTGTATAACTAAGGTAAAAGTATGTATGAGTTATGAAAATTACATTTAAAATAATTAAATTAATAAAAAAATGTAGACAACCACTGATATAAGCGGTTAATTTTAGGGTATGCGTGCTAAAAGTTCAATTTTTAGCACAGGTTTTTCAAGTGGGATGATGCTCAAATGCACGGATAAAACAATGAATGCAACAAAGAAACAAAAAAAAGAAACTTTCGTCTGATCAGCTACAACTGATCTTATTGTAATATGGTCCCGAATTAAGTGATTTGTATACTTAAATGAAAAGGAAAGACGGTAAATTTGTCCAAAATATAGTGTATGACACACGTAGTAAAAGTGATTGTATTTTGCTCGGCTCTATCGATCTCGGGTCGCATCTTTTCATATTCGCAAAATAAAATGCTACTTTTACCACTCGTATTTTAAAGAATTATTCTTTGCTTTGTATTTTTATAGTTTTTCTTGTTTCTACATTTCTTTTTAATGTATAGTTTGGTAATAATTTAACGTTCACTATTCAACTCATGAAACTTTTGTACAATGATTAAGAAAGCAAATGAGATCTTTATCAAAATAAATTAAGAAAAAAACCTTATTTTAAAAGTTGATTCCAGCCCAAATTAGTTAAAATCAATTATGACAGAATAAAAATCGTTCATTTATTTAATTTTATCAACAAAGTTTTTTGCTATCGATCTTTTTCAATTCTACATTTTTAAATTAACTCTTAACAAAAAATATAAATTCAAAAATATGAAAATTGGTTTGCAAGAAAGTTTAATTGAATGTTTCACCTAAATCAACAGCTCGTCTCTATTTAACTTGTATGTAAATTTTTTGTATTCCAGCATTACAAAAGAGCCTTTTCTGTTGCAAGAAATCGTTCATAATCGGGCATTTTACGGAACAAACGATGACATATTAGATTTTATGTCACGAATGATTGTGTTATCGCACATTCAGATAATAGTAGCGAGAGAATCAGAAGGAGATAGAGCTAAACTGAAAAGCCGACCACCGTTTACTCGCACGATGTCAAATACCCGAGTCGTCACAGGGAAATTGTTTCGCAAAATTAAGTTTGATTCTCTTCTAAATGTATAATGCTGTTATACAAAAAAAATATAGTATGCAACTCGTTTATAATGTTGCTTTATTACATTCGTACAAATTTGAAAACTATCTCCTACAGTCGCTCGTTTTCAAAATATGTACTCATGCAATAAAAAGCTTAACATTATAAACTAACTGCATAAATTACTATTATAAAATGATCAGTATCATCTGGCAGTTTGCAATAAATACGAAGTCCACAGAGCGTCCGTCAACTGAAATCCCGCAAAAGATCTCCAAGCGGCGGGTGGCGTCGAGTTGTGAGAGCACTCTGGAAGACGCTCGCCACAAGCGCGGGAGGGCAGAGCCAGATCAGTCCGTTCGCTCGGGAAGAGAGCGCGAGCGCCCTCAAAGCGCAGCCCTCATTAACCTCGCGCCGCCAACCTCACAGAGGCCTCTCCAGCGACGACCCGCCTCGTGCCTTCGCGGCGGGCGGAACTCGATACGAAGTGGCAGCGGCGGCGGAAGAAAAGGAGAGGAGACGCGGAGCGAGATGGACTGAGTAGCGCGGAACGAATTGGAACGGGCGGGGCGGGGCCGGAACGGAGCGGGACGAGTCGAAACGGGGCGGTGCAAGTCGGGGCAGGTCGGACCGGGACAGAACGGAACTGGGAAGGTCGGAACGGGTAGATCGGTACGGTACAGAACGGAACGGGGGCAGGTTGGAACGGGACAGAACGGAGCGGGGTAAGTTGGAACGGGGCAGGTCGGAACGGGGCAGGTCGGAACGGGGCCAGTCGGAAAGGGGCCAGTCGGAAAAGGGGCCAGTCGGAAAGGGGCCAGTCGAAAGGGCCCAAGTCGGAAAGGGCCAGTCGGAAAGGGGCCAGGTCGAAAGGGCCAGTGCGGAAAGGGCCAGTCGGAAAGGGCCAGTCGGAAAGGCCAGTCGGAAAGGCCAGTCAGAAAGAGGCAGTTCGGAACGATGGCTCGAATGGATGGGAAGGTTCCAGCGGGTCGGGGTTGTGAAGCCTATGGGGTGGGAGGCGTGATGTGAAGTCGCGTCGGGAGGCAATGGTGTGGAGCGCAGCGGGAAGAGGCGGGTGAAGTGAAGGAACCGGGGAGGGAGGACCGCTGGAGTGGGTGCGACGCAGATTCAGGGCAGGCAGAGGCATGATGAAGAATGGTAGGTGCAGCGGGTCGAGCGAAGGGGGAACGGAGAGGAGGGGGCGGGGTTTAACGGGTTAGATCTGAGGGCCTGGGTGGGTGGGGCAGAGCGAAGGGGCCAGAGCAGTGAGTGGTGGTAAGTGGCCGATGAGGAGGAGGGGCGGGGGGCGAGGGCAGAGGCCGGGGGGTCTGGGGTGGACGAGAGCGGGAGGCCGTGGACGGGAGCGGGACTGAGCCTTTGATTCGGGCCACTGCGTTCTACGCTGAGGAGGCCAAAGCGCAGCGCTTGCTAATCTATAGAGGGATATGAGTTGGCAGCTTCAGAGGCTTCTTCTGATCAGGTCCTTCGATCTCAGACACCGGCGGAACAAGCACTGCGACTTAGCTGAACTTTTTGTATCTTGGGAAACGATTCTCATTCTCTGCATTGAAGGAGGGTTAATGAAATGAATGGATTGTATGCGGCTTTTGATTTCTTAATAAAGGAAACGTTTTTCCTAAGATAATGTTTTCTTCTTGTAATGCCACAAATCTCACAAGAAACTGAGAATAATTGGTCATTGTTTGACGAGTCAATGAAAAAAATGATGATTTAGTTAATAAATGAGATTTGTCTTGGACGGCACAATTACAAGGCTGAAGTATCAATGTCCTACTTATGAGGGATTATTAATGCAACGCAAAGCAGAAACGCCGTTGGCCGTCGCTCTTAGTAGTAGCGCTCTCCCAACGTGGTCTAATTGGTACGTGTGTGGTCGCAGGTGTACCTGCTGCAACACGGGAAGAAAGTGCACAAGAAGAAGACGTCCACGAAGCGAGGGGAGCGAAGCCCCATCTTCAACGAGGCCATCATCTTCAGCGTCCCTGCGCATACGCTGCAGGTGAGCACTCACCGTCCCCTCTCTGTCTCGCCCACTCACACTCACACTCACACTCGTCCGCTCTTACTAACACTCACACTCACACTCGTCCGCTCTTACTAACACTTACACTCACACTCGTCCGCTCTTACACTCACACTCACACTCACAATCACACTCGTCCGCTCTTACTCACACTCACAATCACACTCGTCCGCTCTTACTCACACTCACAATCACACTCGTCCGCTCTTACCCACACTCACACTCACACTCGCCCGCTCTCCCTCACACTCGCCCGCTCTCCATCACACTCACCCGCTCTCCCTCACTCTCGCCCGCTCTCCCTCACACTCGCCCGCTCTCCCTCACACTCGCCCGCTCTCCCTCACCCTCGCCCGCTCTCCCTCACACTCGCCCGCTCTCCCTCACACTCGCCCGCTCTCTCTCACACTCGCCCGCTCTCTTTCTAGAATCCACCTTCTCTCACTCACACTCGCTCGCTCTTACTTCTAATCACCTTCTCTTATGTTCGCCCACTCTCAGCCACTCTCTCCTGCTTTCTCCCAATTACCCGCTCTCTCTCACACTCGCTGCTCTCACTCCCGCTCGCCCGTATTCACACAAATATAATAATCCTTTTTTCACGTTTGTTAAGTGATTATCTGAAAGTGTCCTAGTGAAACATTTCGTATTTTAAGTGGAAGAACTGTGATGATCCTTCAACTTCTGCCCTCCCCCTCTCACCCTCTCTCCCCTCCCTCTCCCTCAAAGCATGTCTCTTGTCTGACTGTTTTTTTACTAGCAACAGTAAAAACTGAAGATATTCCATACTTTTGATTGGAGATATTAATTATATAAATATTTTTGAACCTAAATTCTTTTTCGAGTGGAACAAGGAGTATGTAGTCGCACCACTCAACGCGTCAGCGGTGGCTGGCCCTGAGAGAGACACCGGGCGCAGGCAGCTCGTCATTGGGCAGCGCGAACAAAAGCGGGCGGCGCCCTCACCTGCCACTCCCGCCGCCGCGCGCGCTGCCGTCGCTTCCCATTCCCCACCCCCTGGCACGCGCCGCAGCGGGGGAGGGCGGCGCAACGCAGCTAAAAATACCTCCCGGAGCGCCGCGCGCGCGCTTACAAGCACTTTTTACGCTCTACGACTCAATTTAAACTACTTTCTCTCTCCTTTTCAAACATTCCGCGCGCCTTCTGAAACGTTCATGAGCCGTGTGCTATCCACACGCTTCTCGAAAAATAAGAGGTGAGAGTAAATTGCACAGAGTTACGAGGCAGAAAGCCAACTAACAAGTGTAACAGGTTGTAAAATTTCTCTCTCAATACTCTGTGACTTTGAGACGTCTAAGTGCTCCAGACGAGAAGTAGTTACCGAAAAATGGGATGGTAGCCAAATCCGCACGTTTGGAAAAATAGCACAAAATAACTGAAAATAACTTCTAATGACTTTAAAAAGTGAGCAATTACGATTAGAGACATTTCAGGATACTTTCTTTACCCTGACCCAATGTCTGTAGCCTGAGTTCAAGGGCCATCTCTGACTAGAACACTCGGTGAAGTGCTTTCTCACTCTTCTCCATTTACAGTTTCTACCTTACAGTGGATTCAGTAATTACACCGTAACATTTAGAATATGTTTCAAACATTTCAAATGAATATTCAAGATCTCTGGACTAGGTGATTTTTTCTCGCGAAATATGTGTAGAACAACTTAGTAAATAACTTGTCTATTCCAGAAATAATCAGAAAACAACTTATTACATTATGAATTTTAAGTAATGGGTGTTTGACTTGCTTTGCTTTCAATAAGAGTAAGCCAAACCAACAATAGCAACATTGCTCGAGCTGAAGAACAATGCCGTGGGAGCATTGAATTGAATTATATTAATGCCTTATTTTACGTGGCGAGACTCAGGCCATGAGGCCTGCTCTCCCGTCTGACCACGCAAATTTCGCTACGCTCCTTTAACCAACTAGCAGAGAAAGGAGGTATTTCTTGGGCGAGAAACAGGCGATATCAATTTAGCTCAGAAGCGTCATTTTGGCTTGAGGATCTTTTATATGCAAGTGAATTTACTAAGATGGGACAGTCGGCTTTACTTCCCCTTCGAACAAATGCGTACGAAGGATTTTTCGCCCTTAAAAATCCACTGCTTCAATCGGGTTTGAACCCGCCAACTCTGGTACAACAGTCCGGTAAAGCGTTAGCCATGTCCAGCAGCGAACTCACAGTCGAAGCTTCGTGTATCAGTAGATCCGTGAGCCAAGTCGTGCTAGCCACGCTTCACCAGCAGAAGCACAGGCCAAGCTCGCCACGGCACGAATGACATTTGAAGAAGACGGCTATTCTCCTCTGATTAATTCCAGGAGAATGATGTCGTAGATCCTTGAACCACCAGCCAGTAACGCGCGGGATCCTTTGTTTCCATTCTGTTTTCCTCGAATTTGCTTATCAATGGACTTTCGCAAAGAGGGATCTAACAAAATATTTTAGGACAAACTAAAAACGTAAAAAATCTACTTATGCTGATAATTCCCTTTGTAATTCAAGTATTTCCAATGTTATGGCAAATGTCGCCCTTTTTTAAAATTCGATGCTTAACGTCTTCCTGAGAACAATAATATATTGTCATACGTCTAATGATGTTCTACGAAATTATTGATAAACGTTTTTTTTACAAAATACAATCATTGTCCTTCACCAGGATGCGTCTAATATGGTATGCCCCACTCCCCAGGGCTGCAAATGAGGGGTCAGACCAGAATACGATTGTCGTGAAATAGAGGGAAAGATATGGCTAGAGAAGTGACAAAGGAATAGAGAGAATGGGATAGGAATAGATGATAGAGGCAAGGAAGAGAGAATAGACGAGAGAGAGGAATAGTCTGAGAGTTTATATATATATATATATATATATATATATATATATATATATATATATATATATATATATATGTGTGTGTGTGTGTGTGTGTGTGTGTGTGTGTGTGTGTATAGAGAGAGAGAGAGAGAGAGAGAGAGTTAGATGACAAAAATATCGAGCGATACTTAATAGGAGAGAGGTAGAGTGTCTTAATAATAATGAGCCTTTCCATCATCGCACGGCCCCCACATTCCCCACAGTCCACAAAGTAACGACTCCGGCAGTGCTCCAGTGCAAGGATGAGAGGCGAAACCCCGAACTGGACCACAGCGACTCAGAAAGGAAGACCTTTTAGCCTTAGGCTCCGAGCGGCAGAAGCTGAAGGCGTTCACCCTGCGAAGGCGTGCGCCCTTCAGGCTGGCGAAGGGGGCGGGGCGTTGACATTCAGGGGGTGCGGTGAAAGGGTACACCCACACCCAGCAGCGCGCACCCCAGCAGAGGGACTGAGCGGCTCTAAAAGGGCGCATTAAAGAACCTCTGTTTATATGAAGGACTTGGGGCAGTAACAAGATAAACCACCAGCCACAAGAAGCCTACCGCGATTCGTAAATGTTAATATCTCTATTTTGGTCAAAGTAATTCTCGACATGTTCTGTCCCAAGCCCTTCAAAAACATGAACAAGATGCTTAGAAACAAGGTACGTTACACTTTCTCCAAAATCAAGCCATTAATTTGACGAGTAGCGGGAGAATTGCTGTGTGTGGTATATCTTGTATCTGTCCCGATCCCTTGGAATATAAACACTTAACAAACATTTTTTTTCATAAATGCTCATTGTTAATTGAAATTTAAATATTTAGTCAGGTTAATGGAAATGCACTAAACAGAAAGGGTTGTATTTGCAGTCCACTCTGTCGCAGTCCACTATGCAAACAACGTCATAGTTTGCGTCCAGCATAGTTATCCCACAAAGCACACAAATTGTTTATTCCTGAGAAATTCGTACACCCACACATATCGAATGCAAAAGCTTATATCACCTTACTTTAGTTAGAAGAAACCCTTGTTTAAAAGAGTAGAAGAACAATAGGTTTAAAAAATGATAAAATAGTGGCTCGAAAATAAGAAGCATAACGTTAAAATCCCCGTTATTACTTTTGAAAATATGGGTTTGACATGATGGAAAAATTAGAACTTGTAATGGAAAGTCTGCTTTTGAAGAACGTGTGCGCTTGTGTGTGTGTGTGTGTGTGTGTGTGTGTGTGTAACAGCGGAACACGTGCCACAAAGCAGCGTACTTCCGTCCTCTCGCCCAGGGGCATTAAGGGAAAGAGGAGCAGATTACGTCGCGGGCCATTGTGCCTTTGCCTTCCCAGTCCTGCGATCGCGGCTGCTCCCCACTCCCCACTCGTCCCGCTCCCCTTTTCACCCCCGCTCACCACCGCCACCCCTTGCCCCGCACTGCAACGTCGATGGTTTTGGTTAGCAATTAATAAACATTCTTGGACGGGCTAAAGGTGCGAGTGAACAAATAACCACTTATAATTGTGAAAGTAATTTTAATATATTGCTTTTTTGTTCATAATGCACAAAAACTTGCACTTTAATTATTTAATTTTGATTTTTTTAGTCCTTCTCCGTCCCTTCTAAATCTTTCGTGATAATAATTGATTGATTGGTTGATGTTTCCGCACATATCATCTGCTATGATCATTAGTCCTACTTGTGTGGTGATTTTTTTATCTCGGGAGGTGTCGGTGTTCCATTCCCAGAGGACGGCGAGAACCGGTGCTGACCTAAACGTCGACTTGCGGAATTATCCCTAACCAATATTTCCTGACCCAGGGATATCTCTTCAGCAGAACACTGCCCCAGTCGGAACTCGTACTAAGGGAAAGTGTATGTAAGTAGTGAGGGTAGGACAAGGAAGAGGAAGGAAAGATTGCTCGTTGTCCGTGGCTCGTTTGCTGGAGCGCTTCTCCGGCATTCACTTCGTGTTGATCAGAGCAGCCAGCCGCTAAAATTTGCTCCAGGTAGCGACTTAAGTTGACCTAGCTATGTTGCTAATGTCAGAAATCAGCCTACGCCAGGACTGGGAAACCAGGACCAGCACCAGGTCCAGGACCAGGACTAAGACCATG